TGCAAACATATTAGGAAAACCCCTTTCTGCTTAATGTCAATAGTCCAATATTACTTCTTTTCTAAGAAACACATCTTGAAGAAATCATCCTCCTCAGAGGTTGATCTTTTTTTCCTTTAGAATACGCCTTTTCTCCTGACTTCTAAGGTGACAATATTTTCTCAAAATGTTTAATCTGAAAAATTATTTGTTACAATTGCTCTGAAAGACAGAATAAGTCCAAACTATGTAATATGTAATTCATAATAATTATTTTTCATATTTTAGCTCCAACAGATCCCAATATATATGGAACCTCTGCTGAGCAATGATGGCACAATTCATCCTCTAATGCCTCCTGCAATTTGAAAACCTCTTCCCCTGATTTTATTTGCCACTTTGAAATGTTATCCCTTTCTGGTAAGTAATCCTGTGTTAGATTCTTTTGCTTCTTAAACGAACATTATTCTCACCCTTTATTGACTGACCACATCTATTATCACATGTAAGCAGTGTTAATCCTCTAGTAATTAACACCCTTATTAAAGTAATTTTAACTCAAAGAAGTTTAAATCGCATTATTGGTTTTATTTAATTAAGCTATGCGGACTGTTTTACACTGTCATTTGAGTTTTCAGCTTGTGCCTTTTCAATTTATCAGTTACGCAGACTCCCCCCCCCGTCTCAGTTACCTGTGTATTTGTCTAGGAATCATTCAATATTATTGTGTTTCACTGTGAACTTTTTAAACTATCCTCTGTGTCAATGGATGCAAGACTTGCACACTATACTGAACATATTACCATTCCCAAAACTATAATTTGGATGTGCATTTAAATTACATCATCAAATCTATCCTTCCACAGGGCTCAATATCTTGCTAGTGCTTAAAATGAAAGAGCCACTTTTAAAGTCCTTCTCATGCATCCTAAGCAAGGGCGAAGTTTTTTATTTAAACTTTAGACTGGCAAAAAGAAAGGAGAATCTGAAAGCACTGAGTTGTGCCATTTAAAAAGGCTGTCTCAGCACTTTTCCTGTTACTTCGAAAATAAGTCAGGTTTTAAAATTGCATTTTTGTGTGTGTGTGTCCACTGCATGTTCCTTTCAATAGGAAAATATCTGATGGCCTATGTTCTCTTACAGATCTCAGGTAAGCTACTCAACTGACATATTTGACACAGGGTCAAAAGATGAAAACTGTCTTCTAGTTTAACTGCATCATGTTACACTGTGCACTCTGGAAGAGTGTGGGCTAATTGTGTGTCCTCCTGCAATGATTTCCTGGAGGCATGCCACTGAAACCAGGAAAGCTTGCATTCTCCTGGGAATAAGGCAACCTGATGGTTACATGGTCTTTATACACCATTAACTGTGTACAGAAAATCCTTTCTTTCCTTTGTGTAAAAACATCTCTTCACATTTCTACTGTTTAAAAAAGAAATGTTCTTAATGGGTCTCAGCATAAACCATGGAAAATGATAAACACAGAAAGAAAAGTATAAGAACAATAAAGTGCACTTCTAGATAGGAACTGACTTTTTCTCTTTTTTTTGTCCTGCATCCCATATCTTTACGTGTTTCTTTTCTCCCCATCATCTACTGCTTCCATCTACTCATGTTTTGATTTGTTTTTCCTTTTTTTATATTTCTTTGCATTTCTGTTCTTATTCATTCTTTTTTCTCCCATGATCCCTCTTTCCTGCAAAGTCTTCTAAGTTGCAGTGCTCCTTTGCTACTTACGCTCTAGGGAAAGTCCTCTCCAAGAGTTTTTCTTTGGGTTCTAAAACACTACCTATATGTGAATCTCCTATGTAAACTTTATTTGTTATTTCCATATTCTTTAGAACAGTGCAACTCGTAAGATGACAAATTGCTCCAAGCCTGACACACCTGTAATAGCCCTATATGTTAACATGGTATAAGCCAGTGTAATATAAAACTGTGCCTAAGAACATGTTGGTTCAGTCATACTGCTTATAGTACAATTAGTTCACTTCATTGAGAAACTAGTTATTTACATAACAGTATGAAATTCAGTCATTTATTTTCCTACCTACTAGTATCTTTGTACTAGGAGAAAGAAAACATGAGGGTTTCACCTTCCAGATTTCACTGACTGGAGGCAGTCTGACAGAATATAATATTTTTAAATTTGTATTTCTGCAGTGCTAAAACACGCAGCTGAAGATAAGTGCATATTATGGTACATATTGTACAAACACTTTTGAAGATATGATCTTTTGTTCTAAGACACTGTGATCCAAATGAATAGACTTTCACTAGCTACATTTCACTTACTCAAGTCCTTGCCATACTTTGTCTATACAATTCCGTTCTTGTGTTGTTATTGTTCTGAAGTGGAGAACAATTCTTGTTTTCTTGCTGTAAGAGATTTCCTTGATTTTACTGGATTTTACATTTGCCCTATAGTGGCTTCCAAAGAAGAGATGGACTAACTTTCTTTTTCACTGAAGAAACTAGCAAAAGGAAAAAAAAAAGGATATTCTGCTGCTGCCTGTGATTGACAGATAATTTAGAGATGGAATGGAACCTAAATATGATGATTGATGCAACTGAAAAAATACTGAAGGCAAATCTGTAGGGTTAAGGGGTTAGTAGTGTTGCCAAGGTATACTACATACTAGTGATACTACCAGCTTAGCTAAGGCTGGAGAATGTAAGAAATTTTAGGGCAGTAATTACTGAATATGATAATGCAGTTACCAGTCCCATGGCTCCCTGATGGGAAACTGGGACTCAATGTTAAGAGAATACAAATAACAAGTAACTTGAAGAAAAACAATAATTTTCTTCTCTAGTGTTGTTCAATTAACAGCACTCATTCATTACTCATAGGAACCACATACCACCCACAGCATTCAGAGGAAGTCCTGTGGAGCTCAGGGCTCCAAAACTGAACTCCATCCATCAGCTCAGGGCTACTGAAGGGCCCAGACACAATGGTAGAGATCCTGCAGCAACTGCCTGTCAAAAAACAACAGCTTGATATAATATATTCACAAACTCCAAGCAAGTCATGCACCCAAATCTTCCTTCCTTGCATTTACATAATTTCTTACAAGACAAAGTCAAGGATCAGACAGGGAGCAAAACTGCTATCAGAAGAAAACTAGAGAAAAACTTCATTCCACTGAATAACTTCCAGTGAACAGGATGTATATCAGTGACTCAACGAAAGGGTTAATTAGGAGTTTACAAATATAATAGGCACATGGATCAATTTCTTCTCATTCAAGCAAGAGATCTGTTAATGAGAAATCATCTGAAAGTGAACCTTCTGGAACTTTTCCACCAACAGGTCCTTCTGCAAAAGAATAAAACCTTCTCCAAATAAATCTTATTTAGGTATCTCACCCAAGAAAACTGAAGTCCTTGGGTTCTGCTATTATGGACGGTATAATAGGGATTATGCACTTCAACTACCAAGGATACCATTTTAGTGCCACTTAGATCATGAACTTACAGGAATTTCTTCTGTAACTATGCGATGAGTTTTCTTGAACAGAAATGTTTTCCTGGGGTATGAAGTTTTCATCATAACGAAAGCTCTGTAGGTTTTAAATGAATTCATTAACTACTTCTAAACATTCTCTGGTGAAAGTACTGATGATTAAGAGGAGCTGAAAGCTGATTAAATGTGATAGTTGGTGCGACTCAGATATGTCCATCTAAATAGTCTTGACAGCAGTTTCTGCCTACTTTTTTTTTTTTTTTTTTTTTTTGTAATATCTGCTTTGATTAACCTCTCCAGTGAAACTTTTAGTAATTTCTGCGATGGTAGTATTTGTAAGTTGGAGCTTCCCTTCACTGCACTAAGAAGTCAAGTGTTTCATCTGCACATGACAAATGAGATCAATAAATGCCTATTCCTGCCTCAATTCTAAAAATTATAAATTCAGCTAACAACAACAAAAACCCCACTCTTGTTCAACTAAGGCTTATGTTCTTATGCAGGCCTGTAAGTCAAGACGAGCCAGTACTTCATGAGTTCTGTCGTTTTCTAAATACACAGTACAGATTTCCTGTCAGCTCATCTAATTCTCGTGTGTATCTGGTTTGGTAAGCAGAGAACTAAGAGAACTGTATCTCTTAAATGAACTAGCTTAAAGAAACAACAACAAAAAAATTTTCTTATTTTTGAAAACTTCCATGGTTTAGGCACCTACAGCATTCTTTAATGTCAATTAGGAGATAACATTCAGCTTAAGCATTATACCTTTCATCATATAGTCTTTTGTACACAATCTACTATACTTTCCTCTGGAGAAACTGGTACAGCTTTTGCCATAGATGGAGTAGTGTATCTTGCGGTTAAATTGCCATATGTATATAATTTTAAGTAAGGTATCGATAAGGGTACTGAAGTGAACAGCACTTATACACCAAATTTTTAAAACCTGTTTTCAAGTATGCGCCCTCATTTCCAGGAAGCTAGGATCTAGACAGAAAACTTGGTATGCTATCAGCATGTTATTTGCACTTCTCTGCTGAAAAAAAGGCATTCAGATGTTGAACTGGATACAATCTGTTTTGCACTGAATTTGATGAATGATTTAATGTCCCAAAGAACACACATACACCTAATATCTGGCACGAGAGAACTTTTAGTTCCTGGCAGTAACAGGGTAGGAACACCTATTACCAGGAAATGACTGACTTTCCATCCTGCTTTAATTCTGCAAATCCTTATCAAGATAGGATATCCAAAGCCATGCTTGTTTTTGACCCCCTGCTGCTAATTTCTGCGCATTTGTTTCCAAAGCTTCCTAATTCTTACCAGCTGGCAGGTATAAATCCCATCCCAGTAACGAGCTGGCTTGTTTCTGTGTACCAAGCACTGATTAAGATCTTCCTCACAAGTATCTACACACACAACTGGTGATCTAAGCCTACTACAATTATGTACAGGCTTCACAGAATCTAGTTGAAAAGGAGAAATCAAAACAAAGAGATGCCATTGAGAAATATAAGTGCTTACAAATGAATTGATATGTTTGTGTGAAGAATTCCCATTTACTTGTAGGAATATAGTACTCTGAAAAGACATTGTGTGTCCCCTGCAAGCTGGATAACACACATTTAGTATGCAGTCATGTTCAAATAACTGCGTCCATTTTAACATGGGTATGCATACGCATGCTACCCCTGTATGATGCAAATACATGAGATACTGAGCCTTGAAGTGCTTCTGCTCTGTTCATGGTGTGCTTCAAGCCCTCCTTTTGCTTTAGTGCACTGTCAACTTACGAAGAAGGGGAAGGTCACCAAGAGGGTTGCCTTCCTCTGCCAGTAAAGTGAGGATCTACAGTCTGAAATCCAGGGAGGTGCAACTCCTGCTTTGTTGCTCTCTGAAATCTGAGCTCTCTTCTTTAGCTGAATAAGCAGCATTGCACTGAAAACTAGAGAAGCACAAATCCCATTACATAGCACCCCAAGGCTGGGCTTCATGTTACAGACGTAACATGTTCCTCTGCTTGTTCTGAGAAGCTGGGGAGTGCATGGGGGGCGGGAAAGAGATCAGTAGGCATTGTGAAAGAGCCTCTGTGAAGATGAAAGTCTCAACAACCATTTCCCTCAGGAAGCAAAAGATGAAATATTCCATACTACTTGCTAATTAAAAATTCAAACTGTTGCCTTATGAAAGAGGCACTTACTTTTATCTTTAAACTCTAAAGTTTTAAAGACTTACTACTAAACATACTGTTAGGGATTTGTCCCTTTTGGAAATCCTGATTTTTTTCAGTTCAAGACTCTTCTCTGGAGTAGAGGCCAGGGGTGGGTGTACCTTACTAATTTCAAAGCCTAGACATTTTGTGGGCAGGCACCCTGTGAAGGAAGCCACAGCACACCTTTAGAGCCCTCGACCTCCAAGAGCTATGGCGGATAGGTTTGGCAACAGGTTGCAACTTATTCTCTGAGGTCTACTGAAGGGTTCAAGTGCATTCTCCACAGGCAACACAGATGGTGAGAGCTTCAGCACGCTGCATGTTTGGGGAATCAGGGACAAGCCAGAGTTGAAATGTAGTTACTACCACAGGAAATGAATTCAAACTGAACACTGCAAACAAAACAGTGGGAAGACTGAGCTGTCAGTCTGCCTTTAGTGGCAGACAATCCCGTGGCTGGGATTGAAGTCCAGTGATCTGTCACACAGTTCCTACCTACAATGAGTTACTTCTGAGTTTATCAGAAAGACAGTATCATCTCTCAGTGATGAATGAGAAGTAAAGAAGAAAGGTCTATATTAAGTGCAAGTAAGAATTTTCTTCTTCAAATAAACTTACATCTGTCGCACACACCACTACAGTTCAGAAGAGTAGCAATATTTCTCACCAACAATACACCAGAAAATGCATTACGAGGTAAATGGTCAAGCAACCCAAGAAACTATCAATGTAATTTCCATTATGCTTTGGAATCAGAAGAAAATTTATTATACTTTTAAATATCAGGTATCAATTTTTAGAAGGAATACATATTATGTATTACCAAGAACTTAAGCTCATAGAAGTGCTTATCCACATGCTTCTTTACACACATCATAAACAAAAGTCCGACAAAAATGTATCATCTAATGTTTCCCTGGTACATTATTCTGCATATTAATCACATTGATTGCATTATGACTTTATGTCTAATTTATAGCTAATGTTAGAAAAATGTTAACAGAAATTGCTGAAAATCTTCAAGAATTTTCTTCCATACCTATGCAGAAATTACGGACTGTGTCCTTCACAGCCCTTGGTCTCCCAGGCAAGGGAACATCACTATCAGACTGTAAACTCTATGTTACCATGTGATGCTGCTCCTGTGGTTGCAGGACCAGCACTGACAGCAACTGGAGGACATCAACAACATGTACTTAAGGGCAAAAAGAATAGAGATGAGACGAATAGAGATAGAATAGAGGTGTTCTCCTTACCCCTGTCAAAATAAGGAAATTCCACAGCCAACAAGCTAGCTGAGTACTTGTCTGAGATCTGACAGTACAGGAAGGAGGCCTGTTTGAAACTGAAGTAGTGCTCACGGTGGAGAGAAACACTGGGAACAACTTGTTAAGTCAAAAGTGAAAAAAAGTCAAGCTACATTTGCAGCTTAGCTTATAACTCTGCAGGCAATGATTTGATTTCAAGAATAGGCATTTGTCACCACCCAGTTGGTTAAGATCAGGAAATCTGCCCTAGGACAGCAACTGTTGACCTCTCAGGCTACTACAAGGTTATTGTTCAAGTCTGCTACACACTACACCGGCTCTCCAAAGAATAATGCACAAATTGTAAGATTTAGGCCTTTTCCTCACAGTATTTAAGTGTCCAGGACATCCAAGAAACTGCCTCACATTCCAGAACTGTAAACCTAGTCTTTAGACACTTGAGGGTAGGGAGGCTTTGCAGAGGGATCTGGACAGGCTGGACTGATGGGCTGAGGCCAATTGTATGAGGTTCAATAAAGCCAAGTGCCGGGTCCTGCACTGTGGTCACAACAGCCCCCTGCAACGCTACAGGCTCGGGGGAGAGTGGCTGGAAAGCTGCCCAGCAGAGAGGGACCTAGGGGTGCTGGTCGACAGCTGGCTGAACATGAGCCAGCAGTGTGCCCAGGTGGCCAAGAAGGCCAACGGCAT